TCTGAGATGCCTTCGGGTAGTGAAGGGCAGGGTTTGAATCCAATCTCCTCCCCCTCTACTTCTCCTTCTTCTTCTCCTTCTTCTTCTACTACTACTACTTCCTCCTCCTCCTCCTCCTCCTCCTCCTCTGTGGCTTGGAGATCAGTTGCAATCAGTGCTCCCTCTAAGCTGAGTTAACACAGTTTTTGAGCCTCTGGCTCACAGATTTTTGTCTCAGCGCAGGAAGGCTGGCTGCAGAGTGCACCAATTCGTGCAGTAGTCAGATCGCTCGCTCACAACTTTAAGGCCAGAAGCTCCCAAAGTAGAATTTTTGCTCACAAGACTCCACAACGTAGAGGGCACACTGGTTGCAGTTCTGATGCATCGTGGTATGCATTGCAACAACATTTAAAGCTAATCAGCCACTTAAAAGACGGCCGGCCGCTCTCCTGCTGTCACCTCCCACAACGGATTCCAGATCCGTCATCCGAAATAGTCTGATGGACGCTTGGAGACGCTCCCGTTCCCCTCTTGACTTGGGGGAGCCCCATTTGGGGGCGCAAAGGCCCTCAGATTTGTGGCCTGCGATGGACTCAGAGTGGGCGGATGCCAGAGGCTTGAATCCAGGGCTGTGTCAGCAACCAAGGGGCGGCAGGGTTTCCTTCCCTCCCGGCTGCTTTCTCGGCACTAGGCTCTAATTATGGCGCAGGCCAATAATAACGGGTACGGAGTTACGGCTCTGACCACACTGAGAAAACAACTGCGTGGAGCCGGAGACCTAGAACAGACAGGTACTCGGGAGGGGAGAAGGCTGATGGTATATTTTCCGGAGCGGTGGCGGCTGCAGGCCAGGACTCAACCCCCACATCCCCCCATAGGAACTTAGCAAATCGTCTGGATTTCAGTTATTGCTCTCCCTCCACGCCTCTCTTCCCTTTCTCTTGGCAACTGGGGCAGGTCGGCTCCTGGGCCCTGCACTGCCAGTCTTCAGGAGGTGGTCGAAGACAGGTCTATTTCAGATTGCATGTGATGGAGGTAGTTTTTGTCGACCGGCAGTCCTATTCAGAGAAGACAGTGCCTGTGTGTCTCTAAGTGATTCAAGGGGCCAGGCAGGTCAGTATGTGGCTGCTCTGGGGGCGAAATAGGGTTGCCAGGTCTGGGTTGGAAAATACCTGGAGACTTTGGGGGTGGATCCAGGAGAGGGCGGGGTCTGGGGAAGGGAGGGGCCTCAGCACGGCACAATGCCAGAGAGCAGCCATTTTCTCTAGGAGAACCGATCTCTGTCAGCTGGAGATCAGTTGTAAAAGCAGGAGGTCTCCAGGCCCCACCTGGAGGTTGATATCTTGTGACTGTTGCATGTTGAAAACTTGAGGTTTCTAATATATATCATTTGCTACAAATCAAATTTCAAGGTCTCGCTCAATTTTTCCTTAATCTCTGTCCAGACCGTGGTCCCTATGTGTGTGTGTGCTACCTACCTACCTACCTACCTATCTATCTATCTATCTATCTATCTATCTATCTATCTATCATCTATCTACCAACCTACCAACCTACCTACCAACCTACCTACCTACCTACCAATCTATCTACCAATCTGCCTGCCTGCCTGCCTGCCTGCCTGTCTGTCTGTCTGTCTGTCTATCTATCTATCTACCAACCTACCAACCTACCTACCAACCTACCTACCTACCTACCAACCTACCTACCAACCTACCTACCTACCTACCAACCAACCTACCTACCAACCTACCTACCAACCTACCTACCTACCTACCAACCTACCTACCAACCTACCTACCTACCTACCAACCAACCTACCTACCAACCTACCTACCAACCTACCTACCTACCTACCAACCTACCTACCAACCTACCTACCTACCTACCAACCAACCTACCTACCAACCTACCTACCAACCTACCTACCTACCTACCAACCTACCTACCAACCTACCTACCTACCTACCAACCAACCTACCTACCAACCTACCTACCAACCTACCTACCTACCTACCAGGCTGACATTCGCGCTGCCTGCCTGCCTGCCTGCCTGCCTGTCTGTCTGTCTGTCTGTCTGTCTGTCTGTCTGTCTGTCTGTCTATCTATCTATCTATCTATCTATCTATCTACCAACCTACCAACCTACCTACCAACCTACCTACCTACCTACCAACCTACCTACCAACCTACCTACCTACCTACCAACCAACCTACCTACCAACCTACCTACCTACCTACCAACCTACCAATCAACCTACCAACCAACCTACCAACCAACCTACCAATCTATCTACCTACCTGCCTGCCTGCCTGCCTGCCTGCCTGTCTGTCTGTCTGTCTGTCTGTCTGTCTGTCTGTCTGTCTGTCTATCTATCTAATCTACCTACCTACCTACCCATCCATCCATCCATCCATCCATCTATCTCAGATCTCAGAAGCTAAGCAGAGTTGGTCCTGGTTAGACTTTGGATGGGAGACCACCAGGGGAGTCCAGAGTCACTGAGCAGAGGAAGGCAATGGCAAACCACCTCTGTTTGTCTTGCCTTGAAATACGTTGGCTGGGATTTGGTGGTACTTCCCTCCACCAACCCCTCCTCTGTGCCCCTTAGATAACAAGCCGCAACGGGTTACTCCCAAGAGCAGTCGTGCAAAGCGGCTGTAAAAATAGTGTTGCCAACCTCCAGGTGGGGCCTGGAAGTCTCCTGGAATCACACCAGATCTCCAGACTCCAGAGACCAGCTCCCCCGGAGAAAATGGCTGTTTCGTAGGTAGGGACTCTACGGCATCACGTCCTTCCTGAGGTCCCCCCCCTCCCCAAACTCTGCCCTTCCCAGACTCTATCCCCAAATCTCCAGGAATTTTCCATTCTGGAGCTGGCAACCCGAGGGTGCCATAATAAATCACAGTGCTGGAGAAAAGAGCAAAACACAGCAGCTAGCTGCCCTTTGCTCTGAGCTTGATACTTCTTCTCTCTCTGTAACCTTCCTGGTGTGCTGCTGGGTTAGAACAACATTGGTCTGGGCTGGAACACTGTGACCCATCTGCGGTCCCTTGATTCCCCAGTGAAGATTCACCCAGCCTAGGTCTGGGAATGTTAGCTCAGCAGCTAGCGGTCGAAGCGTTTATCCTCCGGTCCGGGGCTGCTTCTGAGCATCCGGGAACTTCCCAGGTTGAGCCAGTCGTCGGAGGTTTTGGTGCGTCTAGTTTTGTTTTCTTAATGGTTTATTCCCCCCCTCCCCCGCTCGAATCAGTTATTTAAAATAAAAATAAAAATCTAAGCTGTCCCAGTGACAAAGCCTTGATGGGCACCCGCCTATCCCATCCTTCTGGGGGGGGGGGGGGAAAGGGTTTTGTGTTTTGCTGTGGGCCCCCCCCCCCCCCGTGTGCCAAGTTTGTGGTCTCCCTGATGGCCTTGTTTGTGTCTTGAGGCTGGGCGGAGAATCCGAAAGTCTTGGCAACCAGACACTGCTCTAACCACTAGCTGTGCTGACTCCAGGGTTTTTTTTTTTGCAGGGGGGGAAGAGAAGGGGCTTGGACCTGATGCCCTGGGTGTGCCTATTATCCTCTCATCTTGCCCCTTGGTTTGCTCTCTTCCTGTGGGGACCGATCGACCCTAACAGAGGGAAGGGATACCAAGACTGCTATAGCTCTTCTTTCTCCTATGAAACCATAGCACCTTGAATGGAGTTTTTCTGCTGATGCGGTCCAGTGAATGGGCTTCAAGTTTTTATCTATTTTATACTTTCGATTGATATTCCGCCCTCCCCGCAAGGGCAGGCTCAGGGCGGCTCACAACAGGTTAAAAATAACAGAATAGATACAGTAAGACACAGATACATCGACAAAGCAAAAATCTAGAATAAGAGATACACGAGGGTCCTTAGCGAAAAGGATGCATTTTTGTGATTTTTTTATTTTAAAATTATGAACCAACATATGCTCAAAGGGGCGGGGATGGGGGCCTGTTAAGGAATTTTACACGTCTTATCATTATGAACCTATGCTAGTTTGCCAAGTTTTAGAAATGCTGTGTTCCTGCTGGATCCCACCCACTAATACATAGGGTTGCCAACTGTGGCATGGGAAATTCCTGGTGATTTTGAGGGTGGCACTTGTGAAGGGGAGAACTGTAGTTGGGCTTCTCCTAGAATCTATGGTGTGCCGAAGAAGAAGAAGAAGAAGAAGAAGACCTCCCTTTATTCGGAGTCTCAGAGCGGCTTACAAACTCCTTTCCCTCTCCCTCCCCACAACAGGCACCCTGTGAGGTAGGTGGGGCTGAGAGAGCTCTCTTCAGAAACTGCCCTTTCAAGGACAGCTCTAGTCAGAACTATGCAGGGGTCATTTCCTGCAGGAGCTCTCAGGAGCGGAGCTCCGGCAGTAAAGAGCCCAGGGGGCGGGCACATGCAACAAGCCCCACCCCCTTCTCCCAGCAGCCCTCAGCCAGGTAAGTTGCAGAGCCCCCCCAGTCCAAAACAGTCCAGTGGCACCCTTAAGACCAAGTTTTATTCTGCGAGGACAGATCTGCACGTCCCCCCCCCCAACAGCTAGCAATCCAAAACAGTCCAGTGGAGCCTGAACAGTGGGTGTTGCCTTCTGACACACTTCTGGTGACACCAGGGGGTGTGGCATATGCAAATGAGTGATGCAAATGAGTTATGCTAATGAGCACCTGCACCTCTTTTTCTATGAAATGACCCCTGGAACTATGGCTTGCGAGTGGAGGAGTGGGGAATCAAACCCGGTTCTCCCAGATTAGAGTCCGCGCACTTAACCACTACACCAGTCCGCCTTATGAAGCTGCCATTTTCTCCAGGGAGAAGTTACCTCTGTACTCTGGTGATCTGTTGTCATTCCAGGAGATCTCCAGGACCCACCTGGAGGCTGGCAACCCTTCCTACAGTGGGACGTAGGCATGAACCTTCCTTCCCCCCCACCCCGGCATGGAATACTTTGCAGGAATGAATGACTGCAAAAATCAGTGCGCGACTCACTTGTGCCCACGCTACCCACCCACCCCTACTTTGAGCTGGACGGATTGCGTGGGTGCAGCGCTCTCAGGTGCGAAGCCATTTGGCGCAGCGGTCAAGCAAAGAGGGGGTGGGCACGATCCGTGCGGAAGGCTGGCTCCTGTGCCTTACGCTGAGTATGCGCCCTGTGTCTTTGGGCTGCAGAGCTGAGTGGGGAGGGCAGGGTTGGGGGAGAGGAGGGACCTCGGCTGGGTACGTCATAGCTTCCGCCCTCCAAAGCAGCCATTCCCCCCCCCCCGGAGGAACTGATCTCTGTAAGCTGAAGATCACCCCTAGGGATTTCCCCTACATTGATGAAGTGCGCCCCCATACTCAAATGGGTATAATGCCGTAGACTCCTCCGTCTGAAGCTGTCATTTTCTCTAGGGAGTCAGTTTGGTGTAGTGGTTAAGTGCGCGGACTCTAATCTGGGAGAACCGGGTTTGATTCCCCCACTCCTCCACGTGCAGCCGGCTGGGTGACCTTGGGTCAGTCACAAGTTCTCTCGGAGCTGTTCTCTCAAGAGCAGTCACCAAAAGAGCTCTCTCAGCCCCCACCTCCCTCACAGGGTGTCTGTTGTGGGGCGGGGAAGGGAAGGGAGATTGGAAGCTGCTCTGAGATTCCAAGTGAAGGGCAGGGTATAAATCCAATCTCCTCCTCCTCCCCCTTTCCCCTAAGATCAGGGCTGCTACTGGCTTTGGGAGTCCCCTGGAAAGAATGCCCTCTGGAATCCCCCCACCGACTCCATTTCCTTCTCCTCCTGCTCCACTCCCTCTGTCTGCTCTCACACTCTGTGGGAGCTTTCTCACGAGAGGGATCTGTGCCTCCCCACCCCCTAGGGTTGCCAGTTCTAGGTTGGGAAATACCTGGATCTTTGGAGGGGTGTGTGGTCTGAGGAGGGGTGGGGTCTGAGGAGGGTGGGGTCTGAGGAGGGGTGTGGTCTGAGGAGGGGTGGGGTCTGAGGAGGGTACAATGCCATGAGAATGCCAGCCTCCAGGTGGGACCTGGGGATCCCCCGGTATTACAGCTCATCTCCAGATTACAGAGATCAGTTCCCCTGGAGAAAACTGGATGCTTTGGAGGGTGGACTCTGTGGCACTGTACCCCACTGAGGTCCCTGTCCTCCCCAGGCTCCACCCCCAAATCTCCGGGAGTTTCCCAACCTGGACCTGGCAACCCTTCCCTTTCCCAGCTGGTGGCCAGAGGGACTTGGCAACTTTACTGTAGAGTCCACCTTCCAAAGCCCGTCTCCGCTACAGGTCCAGAGGCGTTAGCCCCGTTTGTTAGTCTGTTGCTGCAAAATAGTAAAAAGCCCAGTTGCACCTTTAAGATTAACAAACTTTATTGCAGCACAAGTGTTATGTCTTGAGAGACGTAATGGTGAAAGCATAATCTAGCATCGCTCATTATGCGGATTGTAACACATTAAAATAGTGACCAATGGTGTGCCTTCTGGAGGGAATGGTTTTGATTGGACGTTATGTATTGATTATGATTGGTTGCAATGAACATAAGATGAATGGATACTGTAAGTATTGTGGGCGTGGCTATCTCAGCCAGGATTGTATATAAGTTGCCATTTTGCCTATTGAATTGTCTAGCTGGTCTAGTCCTTACAAGGCTAAGCCTTTATGCTCTTCTCACTGAAATAAAGCTGAAATCACTTGAACTGTTCCTCCGAGTTAAGTGTCATACTTAACAACAAGCTTTTGAGAAACATGGCATCTGACAAAGAGAGCTGTGTTTCTCAAAAGCTTATGCGACAATAAAGTTTATTAGTCTCAAAGGTGCTACTGGGCTTTTTACTGTTTTCTCCAGGGGAACCATCATCATTATTCATCCAGGGGAACCGATCTTGGTCATTTGGAGATCAATGATAGGAGCAGGAGATCTCCAGGTGCTACCTGGAGGTTGGCAACCCTACCACCCCCAAGTAACGGGAGCCTATTTCACAGGTCCCAGACATTGACCAATGAGGAAAGGTTAAGGCGCTTAGGGCTCTTTAGCTTGGAGAAACGACGACTGAGGGGTGACATGATCGAGGTTTATAAGATTATGCATGGGAAAGAGCAGGTAGAGAAAGAGGTACTTTTCTCCCTTTCTCACAATACAAGAACCCGTGGGCACTCCATGAAATTGCTGAGCGGTCGGGTTAGAACAGATAAGAGGAAGTACTTCTTCACCCAAAGAGTGATTCACACATGGAATTCACTGCCACAGGAAGTGGTGGCGGCTACAAGTGTGGACGGCTTCAAGAGATGTGTACAGATGTGTTCATCAGGAAGAAGAAGAAGAAGAAGAAGAAGAAGAAGAAGAAGAAGAAGAGGAAGAGTTTGGATTTATACTAGGGTTGCCAGCCTCCAGGTGGGGCCTGGGGATCTCCCGCTTTTACAACTGATCCCCAGCCGCAAGAGATCAGCTTCCCTGGAGAAAATGGCTGCTATGAAGGGTGGACTCTATGGCATTGTGCTTTGCTGAGGCCCCTCCCCTCCCCAAACCACACCCTCTCCTGGCTCCACCCCCAAGGTCTCCAGGTATTTTCTAACCCAGACTGGGCAACCCTAATTTATACCCCGCCCTTCACTACCCAGAGGTGTCTCAGAGCGGCTTACAAACTCCTTTCCCTCCCCCTCCCCACAACAGACACCCTGTGAGGTAGGTGGGGCTGAGAGAACTCTGACAGAGTCTGCTCTTTTTCAAGGACAGCTCTTATCAGAACTACGGCTTGCCCAAGGTCATCCAGCCAGGTGCAAGTGGAGGAGTGGGGAATCAAACCCGGTTCTCCCAGATTAGAGTCCGTGCACTTAGCCACTACACCAAACTGGAATGCAACATCTGGGCCAGGAGAGGGGCCTTCCTTGACCTCCAACTCACCTCTCCCTCTGGAGTCAATTAAGTGGGTTGGAAGACCGATATTGCGGTGAGCTGCTCTTCTGGAGCGTGAGATTTGCAGATACATTGGAGATGGATGAAGAAAACAGCGGTGCAGTGGCCTCCTTTGGAGGGAGCAGGAGGCAGGGGCTGAAGAGTTAACAAACCCGGCTTTCCTGCCAGTTTTCCTTGGGCAGCCCAAAAAAGAAAAGAAAAAAAGATTGCACAATAGGCTGTGGGCATGGACCGTTCCCACTAGCCGCACATCCGTCCGAGCTCTCCGTCTTTCCAAGAGTGCACACGCCCAACCAGTTGCCTCTCCGTCCTGCAGTAGCCCCTCAAGGTTTCCAAAGAGCTCCCAGCCGGGTCAGAGTTTGTGGGACGAGCAGGAGGTCCTAAGGCCCAAGGAGGCAGAGGGAAAGGTGGGGGAAAAGGTAAGGCTGATGGACGGCATCTTTGGGTGGGGAGGTCCCCGGAGCCCACAATGTGTTCAGCCTTGGCTGATAAACCTTAAGAAGAACTTCCTGACGGTTAGAATTGGTTCCTCAGTGGAACAGGCTTCCTCGGGAGGGGGTGGGCTCTCCTTCTTTGGAGGTTTTCAAGCAGAAGCTAGATGGCCATCTGACAGCACTGGTGAGTCTGTGAACTCAGGCAGATCATGAGGGAGGGTTGCGTCAGTGCTTAGTTCTCGTGGCCCTTTCTTACACCCCCAGGGAAATGCTGATCGTCACTTTGGGGTCACTTTGGGGTCAGGAGCAATGTTCCCTTTAAGCTGTGGGGTCTTGTGAGCAAAAATTCTACTTTGTGAGCTACTGGCATTAAAGTTGTGAGCGAGCGATTTGGCTGCTGCATAAATTAGTTTGCTCCGGAGCCCGCCTTCCTGAGCGGAGACAAAAATGTGCGAGCTGGCGGCTAAAAAACTGTGAGCTAGCTCACACTAACTCAGCTTAGAGGGAACACTGGCTCAGGAGCAATTTTTCTCCAGGCCAGTTTGGCCGGGGATCCTGGAGGTTTTTCTGTCATCTTCTCTGCGTGGAACAGGGGTCACTGGCAATGTTCCCTCTAAGCTGTGGAGTCTTGTGAGCAAAAATTCTACTTTGTGAGCTACTCGCATTAACGCTGTGAGCGAGCCATTTGGCTACTGCAGAGACAACAATGTGTGAGCCAGAGGCTAAAAAACTATGAGCTAGCTCACACTAACTCAGCTTAGAGGGAACACTGGTCACTGGGGGTGTGGAGGGGGAGGTATTTGTGAATTTCCTGCATTGTGCAGGGGGTTGGACTAGATCACCGAGGAGGTCCGTTCCAGCTCTGTGATTCTATGATTCTATATATTGTGGTCTTTTGTCCATAGTGATTTTTTAAAAAAGGTTTTACTTCAAAATTTTAAAGATTTATTTTTAAACATATAAATTACATATACAGCAGAAACACAAAACAGTAGGAAACATGTAAAGATGAGTAAACGGCTCAATGTTTCCGGCTGCTGCTGGTCCGTACGGCTGGTGAAGGCAAGATAGTTGTAGTGCTGCAGAGGTATAAGACATAGCCACTGTAGGGTAATGGTTAGGGTTCTGGACTAGAGTCTGAGAAGCTCTGGGTTCGAATCCCTACTCTGCTGTGGATGACCTTGGGCCAGTCACATCGTCTTAGCCTAATTTACCTCACAGGGTTGTTGTGAGAATAAAGCAGCGCAAATGAGGTAAGTTTGCTTTGGGACCCCGTGGGGGCGGAAGGCACGGTATAAATGAAGTAAATAATAAAATAGCTTTTAAAAAAAAGCAAAGTGAGACCCACTCTGAAAATGTCAATTGTTAGGCAAAGAAAATTAGGGAGCCTTCTTAGGCAGTAGTGAACTGTTTTCTCATTCTTGTCTTCATTCATTAAGAATAACGGG